GCAGATAGATGGGCACTTCCAGTGTGTGGCTTCCAGTGTGTGGCACTGGATTGCATGTCAGGTGAGTTTTTCAATCACTACCAACTATGACAGTCCTATTGCTGCAAGGTACTCAGCGAGAGGCTGCTGACGGACAAGAGGGCCCCAAGACTTCATCCTCAGATAGTCTGTAACAGTCAGTACTCACACACATTTTACTGACTGCAGTTATGATATCCAGTACTCATCTTATGGGATTGTTACACAATATGCACTCTAGGTACAAATATCTACTCAGCTACTCATTGCAATTTGCCTTTATTAGAATTAACTTCAGCTATTGATTGAATAACAAAACATTGTAGCATACTAGGTACCACCAGTGCTTAATTTATATATATATATATATATGTGTGTGTGTGTGTGTGTGTGTGTGTGAGAACACATGCACTATATATTCTTTTTTGCTTTTCTTTTTTTTGCCTCCCATCCTCGGGGTGCAATATGCATTTGTCTCCTCTACCTCTCAGGTCTTCAACTGTTCCTTAGTCAGAGCTGGTTAATCCTACATGGGGCACAAGCAGCCGTCTAGGGTGCTGCACCACCTATGACCATCTGGTTTTTTTTTTTGAACTGCCATTTCTTTTGTTTTTTTTCATAGTGCTGGATGACAAGGAAGTTTTGCTTTTTTTGTATCATAGTGAAATAGGAAGGGATGTAATAACACTAAGTTCTTTAAAACTTAGATGAACTTAAGTAAAATCAATTTCATGCCTGGGTTAAATATAGCAGATTTTATTTAGAATAATCATTAATTGTGAAACCTATACTGTATTTGGAGAAAACTGATTAAACAAATAAATAGTCTTGGTTAGTTCAATTGGACCATTAATAAACTAAGATATTTTGTACATCTTGGCATTTCGCGTTTATCTGTATGATTCTATTATTTATTTTTTGTAGTATTTTTTAATGCATTTTCAGTCAGAGGTGCCAATTATTCTGGAGCCCGCTGTGATACTTGAAAATTGCATGCGATGTACAAAATGCACTTAATGCAACTTTCAGGTTGAAAAGAAACGTTTACGTGCAGTTATTGCCGGTATAAATTGTTATTTTGTGGATATACCAATGTCTCTTAAAACCGTACATTTTAATTGATGGGAGAACCCGAGGAACAAGGAGGAAAGAAGTCATCTCATCCGGCTTGAACTATAAGTCCAAGAACAGGGAAAGAGCGACCCCCGCTGTCCGTTGACGGTCCATGTACTCTCTACAGACAGGGGCGTGGCTATGGCTGATTTAAGGGGGATTAGCCCCCCTAAAATGTTTCTTATCCCTCCTCCCAAATGAATTTACGCAGATTAGTTTAAACAGTATTTTCTCATTCAAGATTATTAAGCCAGATCCCGTAGTAAAAGACTTTGTCCCCTTTTTCATAAATCTCAAGTGACGCACCTGGTACAAACGCCCTATAAATCGACACATCTTTAATTCCTCGACCGACTACTTTTTTTTAAAAAAGGGAAGCTGGCAATAACGACGTCATACATTTTGCTCGCTTTAAAAGCACAGCTGGATATTTGACATTACAGTAAGACCGCTGAAACGACCGCCATTTTAAAGGTGAAGTCCCGGACCAATAGGATGGAAGGAGGACGTCGCGGAAATGGACTGAATACAAGAACACGTCGGCATATCCAGTGATACGCCGCATCACAGGAATGGAGTGATATCAATGCGCCCGAGAGACCGGGATGAGGTTAGGGTTAGGTCATCTCTAATGGAATAGACGTGAACGTGTATGAGTTTATTTCATCCATCTTCTGAATGCGTGTCCAACATAGGGTTACGGGGAACCTAGAACTCTATCTCATGCAGAACTGGGGACAAGACAGGGAACAACCTTGGACGTCCCGGGACGTCAGCCCATCATAAATCACAACTTAGACACGTCAGCTAGTAATCTGCGCATCTTTGTAATGCGAGAGGAAACCAGAGTTGTCGAGCAACCGAAAAAATAATACAGTACGTTCTTAAGAGACAAAAAGATGTCGCCCAGGGGAACACCCATAATTTATGGGTTTTATTATGTAAAAGACTACCATAAAACCCCCTCGACATAACTTAAAGCTACGTATTTTTGATTACTGGCTGATGACACTTATAAGTCAAAGACCGTACTACAATGTGGCAGAGCGGACTATAGAAGCGGTGGGTTGGCGGAGCGATACGCAGTAACCGAACGGCGCGGTGGAGACGTTAAATATGTGTGTACGTAGGCAGTTCCGCGTGAAGCAGGTCGCAGTCTACGCCGGTTCGCGTCGCACGGAGTGGCAGAGCTAAGAAGATGGTTGCAAAACAGAGAATTCGCATGGCTAACGAGAAGCACAGCAAAAACATCACTCAGAGGGGTAACGTGGCTAAGACTATGGTGAGTATGTTGGCGTACTTTAGTAACGTACCGAGTGGATAACATAGCGGCAAGCCCACTAGAGTTCTTTCATGCCTCGTATATTGAACTGGTTTGAAGTACCTAAAAGGCCTGAATAGAGTACCACTTTTCTGCGCACGTTGCGTTTATATTCCTCATAAGTTAATTAGACGCTGTTTTCCGGTTTGTAAGTGTTTCTTCGTGATGAGTGTCGCGTTAATTTACAATCGCAGGAGTTTTGTCATATGTAGGCTATAATATGGCAGAACCTGGACGCGCTTGGAGGCTGTGGATCTGGTGGTCATCTGTCACTACGACCTCGGTTACTCCCGTCGTTATTAAAATGTAACTTAAAATGTAACTTTGTTGGGTGCAGAGAAATTCCCCGGATGACAAGGTGTCGGTGGGACCCTGGTTATTGGCGTTGTTCATCTTTGTGGTCTGCGGTTCAGGTGAGTGCATTTCATGGATAAATCAAATACATTTATTTGAGTATTCCATTATGTTCTTGGAAATGTTTCCACCGAGCCCTAACTAGATCTATATGTGGACTGTCATCGGACGCTTTTAAGCGTCTTTGATTTAGTACTGTTACCTCAAAAAACAACTAAAATACAAATTGTAATGCTGGCACAGGAAAAGAATCATCCTTATTTGTTACAACCACTTAAAATTTGTACTGTGGAAAGTAAAACATTTCCTGGCATATGTATTGTGATAAGACCATCGGTAAATAGTTTGATAACAGACGGGGTTTCTCGCGACCTTGTTTAAACTATCCTGGTACAGCCTGGTTTGGTTGGGGCTCTGTGATCTACAGTTATAGCTAATCTGATGACCTTCAGCAGTTGCTCTTTCAGATTGCTTTGGGTAACCCCATTTTAATAATGGAGCTGAAATGGTAAAGGCAGTGCATTAACTGTCAGATTCTGTCAGTTCTTTTTGTAAGGCATAGTAGGAATGTTTGGGCCTACAGTATTCTGTCTGGGATTTTGGTAAAGTTTTCAAAAAGACCAGACTTGACAGCTGGATTATGTGGCTGGCATATGGGATATTAAAGTGGGTAGTTAAACCACCAAAGCTACTGTAAAACATCTTAATATGATGCAGATAGGTATTCCCAGTTTTAACATGTGCGGCTTTCTCCCCCCACAGCGATTTTCCAGATTATCCAGAGCATCCGGATGGGCATGTAATGTAGAGGCATCTTTGCCTTCAGGCTGCCTTGCTGTCCAGTGGAGAACCAGCAGTCTGTACTCAACCTTTTCCAACGGTTATGCCAGCAGGCAGAGATGAAGAGCGACTGCCTGATGATGGTTGACCAACTTTCTTTTAATTCTCAGGCTTTGTAACTAGCAGGTTATTTTGAATTTGTGCCTTAAATGAAACAATTGAAGCCAAACGGTTTCTACATTCTGCATTCCAGTCTGGAATTTTGGGTCAAATACTGTGATACTTTATTATTGCTGAATGGCTTTAAGCCATTCAGAAGCTGATGATCCCCATTCCATTTGTAAGTCCTGTTTGTCTTCTATGCACATGATTCCAGCTTAATCGCATGTAGTGTCCTCTATTTTAAAAGTTTATTGTATAGGTTTTGTTTTATTCCCTATGTTTGGCTGCTCTTGTTTGTTCCCGACCAAATTCTTGTTGGACTGGAGGCCCATGATGGACGTCTGGGACAAGCTTTGGGGAAAAGAAGTGATTTCCTTCCACATCTATATACGAAATGTACTATAATTGTATGTCTACAATATTTATGCTTCTTGATTCTGTGACAGTTGTCAGTCACCTTTTCATGTATGTCCAGTTTTCTGTACATTTGGGGGTGGGAAACAGTCTCAGGAGCTTGATGTGTCCGTCTTCCATCGTTTAACGATTCTGCAGTTTGTGGCTGGAGGTGACAGCCAGCTTGAAGGGGGGGGGGGGGGGGATAGTGTTGGAAGGCAAATGTCACATACAAAATAAAGCCTGCGTTTTCTGCCAATTGAAACAAATATGTTGGAGGTGGTGCATGAGAAGAACAGTGTCATGTTACTTTGCTCAATTAGGGGACTATGGATTACTGCCAAAAAATGAATGAAATACATCAGCTTTGTGGATGATTGACAAAATTTTAATATACGAAGTACTTGTACATTTGTCATTGTCATTTGTGAACTTCTTACCAAACAAGTAATAGGTTTAAAAACAAAATGTCGTGCCTATGTGATCATTTCCACACATCTTTGTATTAAATGATTTGTTAGGCCTGAGCTGCCCCATATGCCATGTAGATCATTCCCATACTGGAGGTACCAATGTGAACCACATATTCTGAGCAGTAGTACAGAGCTGAAGTGAGAGTTAAGCTCAAACCCTGGACTTGTAGTGAAACCAATCGAGGCCACTGTCCGCTATTTTATTAAGGTTTCCATTAAAATACCGCGAAATGTAACGGTTTATGTGATATGTGACCTCACTAAATGTGGCGGCTCTTGTACTAAGAAATATGGGTCAAAATGGCCACAAGAGGGCAGCATGTCCCTCCATTGCAGACTTCCGGATGTGATTTGTCCGGCGCCGTGGAAGCCACCTCACTTCCGACGGATGTTTCCCTGCTGTATTTCCGGTGTCACTGTTATGGCTGTTTAAAGAGCACCGACTCTTTAAGAGACTGTCGCAATTCTGGCTTCGTTCCTCTACTCCGCACGATAGCAGGAGGCCGTTTGGGTTGGCTGGCCACCCCTGGACGTTGGGCCTGTACAACGCTGCGCTTTCTGGACAACCGGCTGTACATTCGTCACACGACACCGGGTTAGTTGACTTTATCTACAGTAAAGATAGATGAAACCAAAAGGGGTTTGAGGTCGTTTCAGCGTCGTATGTAGTGTTGTTTTATAGTGACGGATCGCATGACACCAGTAGGACTAGTCATTCATAATTAGCTTATTTTCGGAACTACTGTGCTGATCGGTGGACCGATCGCTAGGTGGTACCACGTAAATATCAGCAGAAGATCCTGACTATTGTTTTGACACTTCACGTTGTTGATTGCGTAATTAGATGGCGTGTTAAGTTGTATAAACATCTCGGAGGCCGGTTAAACAAGTTTGGCGTAGTCGGTCATCCATAGACCAAGTACCGGACGGCAGTTTACAGCGATCTCATCGAAGTAGAGCCGCAAATTGCTAGTTTGTAGTGAAGACTATGCCGGTTAGGCTCAGTCTGACAGACTTGTAGAGGGCATCTGGCTAATATAAGCGGTTTATTTTTAGAGCACTTTGACAGCTTGGTTTAGCTGTCATGCTTTTGTAACCTTACTCCCTCCTCAGCCTTTCAGAACTTCCCCGCTGCAGCCCAGTGAATGCTTTAGATACGCTACTTACTAGTTTGCTTTTGTGATGAGGGCGCGTGCGGAAGCTGACAGCTGGATTGACGTCACACTTAACAAGTTCGTAGAAAAGTGCTTATCAGATTCCCTTCAAATGACTTTTGGAATAAGCTTTCCCAATCTCTAGGAACGATCCTTCGTTTGATCCACTCAGATACCAGTTTTCTCTCAGTATTTCCTATATCCGGTTGATATTACTTTATTGACAAATAATAATAATAATTGTGCATATGAGACACACATGGGCGTAAATTCCGGGGGAGGGGGGAAGGTTGTAGCAATCCCAATAAATCAAAAAGCTAGTACAACCCCCCCAATAATCATGTTTCCCTATAATGGGTGTTCCAGCCAAAGTTACGCCCTTGGAGACACAGATCATGTGACAGCACTTTAATCAGTGTCTAGCATCATAGACTTGCGGTGTCTAATATGTGCCACTTGATGACTGTATCCAAAGTATCGGAGGTGTAGACAAAGGTAATGGAGTGCCTGCAAATATTTATAGCCGCACATGGAGGCCCACGGCTCTGGCCGACTGCTCCCCAGGAAGAGGCGCAAGGAGGATTCGAATGGCGAGGCAGAGGAGGGTGAGCGGCCTGGGAAGGTCTCTCGGTGCTCTGTGGTAAGTGAGCATGGAGCACAGAGAGCTGTGTGCGCTACTGGAACACCAGTAGCTCAAACCAGTATGATTTAGTCTGTATCCTTTCCAGGGCCTTGCAGACCCTGCTCCGTTTTCAGATGAGTTGGAGTCCGATGAGTCCACACCATACCTTCGTGTCAGTATGGAAGAAGCCCAGAAAGGCACGCCACGTGAGTCACACGCTGGTGCACTAATTCCCTTTGTGCAGCATACCTCCCGCCTGCCCGATTCCAGCAGCGTACCGTGACCCGCTGCCCGCCTCTCTGCCCACAGCGGAGAGGCCGGTGCGCGTGTATGCCGATGGGATCTTTGACGTGTTCCACTCTGGCCATGCTCGTGCACTGATGCAGGCCAAGGGACTCTTTCCAAACACGTACCTCATCGTGGGAGGTCAGTATTCTACCCGCATCCTGTGCCGTTTCTTTGTCTGCCTGTTACCTTGCACTTTTTTTTTTTTTAAATGGGCTTTATGAAATGTTATTTTGCACACTGTCCTCATGACTTAATCCCAGTTAATTCCAGTGTTTTAGCACTAGGATCTAACCTACAGCATCGTAACCTTATCTGAGTCGCACTTACTGAGAAAGCACAGATTAATTTAATCGCTATTTTGCCTAATTACATCTTTAACGTTCTTTGTAATGCTGTTATCCCTCTCAGTATTAACACACAATCACCCCTACCGTACCCTGCAGTGTGCAGTGATGACTTGACACACAAGTTCAAGGGTTTCACAGTGATGACTGAAGATGAGCGATACGATGCGGTCAGCCACTGTCGCTATGTGGATGAGGTTGTCCGCAACGCACCCTGGACACTGACACCTGAGTTTCTCGCAGAACATCGGGTAGGAGTAACCCTTCTCTTTCGCAGAAATAGTGTATACACATACACACAGGCACCAAGCACGCCTGCACATGTTCACATAGTTCTTGGTTCACTGTTCTAGGTTCTACCATGGAGAAAAATATACTGCCTGGCCAAAAAAAAAAAAGTCACCATTTGAATTTAAATCGGCAAGTACTTAAGATGGTGGCACAGTGGTTACCGCTGCTGCCTCACAGCAAGAAGGTCCTGGGTTCGGTCCCGGGTCCTTTCTGTGTGGAGATCGCACGCTCTCCCTGGGTTCTCGTGGGTTTCGGCTGGGGGCTCCGGTTTCCTGCCAACTTGTGCAGGGCAAGTTGATTGACAAGTCTAAATTGACCCTGTAGTTGTGTGTGTGTTTGTGTGTGTGTGTGTGTGAGCGTATGCGCCCATTGTTCCTGGGATAGGCTCCAGTTCCCCCCACAACCCCAGTTGGGATTAAGTGCTAACGGTGATGGATGGATGGAAGTACTTAAGAGCCAATGATTAGATCATTATTACAACCTAGCAATGTCATGCAGCAATAAAGTGAAGTCAGCTGAGCACCTGAATCTACTGAATGGCCAGGTTACCCCATCAATGGATTTTTTCTTTCTTAATGGCATGGGAATACCCCAGGATGGGAACACCGAGATTCATTGGGCTCAGATTGTCAAAGACTGGTTCAGGGAGCATGAGGAATCATTTTCAGACATGAATTGGCCACCAGAGAGTCTTGACCTTAACGCCATTGAAAGTCTTTGAGATGTGCCGAAGAAAAATTTACAGTGGTTCAACTCACCTATCATTAATTCAAGATCTCAACAAGAAATGAATGTGGATCTAGATGAAAAGACTGTTGAGATGTTGCATATGCATGTAGAAACAATGCATTGATGAATGGGCACCATAATCAAAGCTGAAGGTGGTCCAATTAAATATTAAAGTGTGCAACTTTTCTTTCAGCCAGGCAGTTTAGATAGTACTCGATTAATGCTGTTGGTACTAGTTTTCATATTTTGTTGGTTTTTTTTTCTTCTTTTTCAGATCGACTTTGTGGCTCATGATGACATCCCGTACTCCTCAGCGGGGAGTGACGACGTTTACAAGCACATCAAGGAAGCTGGTTGGTGTCGAGGCTACGGGAAGCTTAGGTATGACGGCGGTACGTGATGCTGAAAATAACCTTCTGCTTGGGCGCGGTTTTCCATGGGACAGGCATGTTTGCACCAACACAGCGGACAGAGGGCATCTCCACCTCTGACATCATCACGCGCATTGTCCGCAACTATGATGTGTACGTGCGCCGTAATCTACAGCGAGGGTACACTGCCAAGGAGCTTAACGTCAGTTTCATCAATGTGAGTCTGGCACAGTGGTGTGGTGGTGGGGGGCATTTGGAGGGAAGCCCTCATGTTTTGGGAAAGTCTATGTGCTGAATTGAGTTTTCACTCCCCGCCTGTCTTTCAGGAGAAGAAGTATCACCTGCAGGAACGGGTGGACAAGGTGAAGCGCAAAGTGCGCGACGTAGAGGAGAAGTCCAAGGAGTTTGTGCAGAAGGTGGAGGAGAAGAGCATCGACCTCATCCAGAAGTGGGAGGAAAAGTCCAGGGAATTCATTGGCAACTTCCTGCAGATGTTTGGCCCAGAGGGGGCACTGGTGAGTTGGCAGCTGATGCACCCACAGCAGAGGTGGACAGTTCAGGTCCAGAAAGTAAAAATCCAGTTGAGTACTCTGTGACTGTGACTCTTTATAGTCAACTGGTTGGTTGAAACAAAATCTTGGTCTGGATTTTTACTTTCTGGACCTGAATTATCCACCTCTGATCCACAGAGCAAGATTGGTACATCTGTATATACTAGTGTAGTGTTTCCTGAAAGTGGTTTTTGGGGACCCCCAGACAGTCCAAGTCTTTGCTGCTGGGAGGGAGCAAAAATGTGAACGGTCTGGCAGGGAGCAGAGTGGGAGCAAACACGTCTGGGGGGTCCCAGAAGACACATCCATGTTGTCCAATTGTTACTGCTTTTTCATTTTTCTTACATTTGATGACAGGCTGCATTAAAGACTTGACCAAATGCAGTCACAGGAAGTATTGATCTTATCTCATTTAAGGTTACTTTCAGCATGTCCAGTATCTGTGACGGGAGAGAAGTTTGGTTTTTCTACTACTATGTTAATGAGCCAAATAAAGTGTCTGCTAATATTCCTACTTTAGGGAATGTAATGGTTCGTGGTCTAAGAGTTCTGTCAGAAGAGGCTAGAACAATTGCATAACTGTGAACCAAATGCACCCGGTGGGATCTGTGCCAATAACTCTGCATGCTTGGGCTGACCTTGATAACTGCACCCCCGCAGAAGCACATGCTGAAGGAGGGCCGGGGCCGCATGCTTCAGGCCATTAGCCCCCGGCAGAGCCCCAGCAGCAGCCCGGCCCGCGAGCGCTCCCCCTCCCCCACCTTCCGCCTCCCCTTCTTCAGCAGGACATCCCCCCTCCACGGTGTCGCAACCACTGATCCCATCAGTGAGGATGAGGAGGATGAAGAGTAGGACCTTTATGGTGGCCGCCTCGCTGGGACTCTCCTGCCCTCTGTTTTTCTGCCTGGTCGATCGAGCCGGAGGAGCGTTTGCCATCTTTAGGCGGAACTGCGAAAACCAGCCAGCTAGCCAGCCAGCCGCTGCGCTTTAAAGGAGCAAGAGAAACCGGTCTTTGTATGAGTTGGCACAACCGGACTGTCCCACAGCCCTACAGTGGCATGTGGAGGGACGATACCATTCCTCAGAAGCTGGTGGCCGGTGTGTGTCAATGTTTGTAAAACGTTATTTTTAAAGTCATCTTTTAAACATATTAACCACTTAAATCACAAGCCGCCATTTAAGGGGTTCACGGAGAGGCCAGAGCAGCCACCTGCACTCAAACCCACACCTGCTCCACATTCCCCACTACTAGCCCTGAGAATCCACTGCTCTGCTCTTATTTATGGTTCGTTTGGTAGTATATTTTTTTGGGATCCTCTTCTTGTCATTTGGGCCCTAGGTTACTTGTCTTTCCTAAGGGTTTGGGGGTTTTAACTAATTCCAAATGCGGATACAGGTGCAGCCTTTTAAATTGTTTGTTACTTTTCAGAGGGAAAGATCTTTAGAGTAAATGCTTTAATCTGCAGCTCCAAGCGATCACATGAGAAGAAAATCAAAGCAATATAGTATTATGTAGGAACTGGGCAGTTGAATCTGACTGGATGATTTTCTTGCTCCTGCTCGTAAGATGATGATTTCTGATCACACTGACCTTAAGCCGTGGAAAAGCATGTTTAATCCAACCACCATATCGCTTGTTTTCACACAGTCAGGATTACTCAAAGTACCTGTCATGCTGTTAGTCATGTGACCTGTGCCTCCAATTGCCTGGCTGGAAATGTCTTGTTACAGCCATCCATCACTTTGAGCTGAGGTACAGAGCCAGTCTGCCTTTTAAAGTTAACCACACTATGTATAAGTTTTATTCTCAACTCTGCTTTCGATATTTTCTGTATAATTACTGCCCAGAGGATTTTCTTTTTCAAGATCTCAAGAAACGAATGTGGACCTAGATCTTGAATCACTTAGCTCTCGCCCTGCACCTCGTGTTGGCTGTGCTACCTGACGGACTTGAGCGGTACCTCAAGCGCTGGAGCACCATTTCCTGTTTGCCGAAAGATTCTGGTTGTGGGAACGTTTGTGCCCCTGATGCATGTCTGCAGTTCCTTTACTTTTTCTGGCAAGAAGGCTCTATATAATTGTCATTAACCATTCTGTTCTGTGGGCCTATCATGTGTCCTGAGTTAATAAATTTACATTTAAAAACATGCATTTCTTGTACCCATACTGGGCTGTTAGAGCCTAAAAACAATGGCAAGTGTGTTCAAGTGCTGGTCATGGTCCCTGGCACATAAAATAGAGAGGGGGATGAATACAGAAGGCATCTGTGATTCTCAATTCCATCCATCTGTGCATTTATCCCATACCTGTGAAAGAGGAAATTGAAAATTCTTAAATCACTTTAAAAAATACCCTTGGAACAGGGACTCCAATGGGAAATAGAGAACCTCAAAGCTGCACGAATGGGGCCCGATACAAGCTGAGCAACGTGGAAGATCTCAGGGACTGTACCCAGCAAACCGGCGATGTATTTGCAGATTTGAATTATCCAACAGTACAAAACTAGTCAAAGCCACATTTTCAAGCTGAAACTGGCTGTACTGAATTCTGATTTTATCAGTAATACTTTGAGTGCACAGACATGAGTACAGACGTAAAGTTGTATAGCTTCTGATTCCCAACAACCATTTATTATGTGGTGAGGATGAATTTGCTGCTGCTGACTAAAGGCCGGATTGTGACTACAGGTAGACTGTAAACCTACCCCCCCCCCATTCTCATAACACCTCTTCTCCAGTCTTTGTGGTTTAACTGCATGATGTTTCCCAGCAAGCCAGCAGCAAGCCACCAAGATTATTCATACAGGTTATCAATCGGTACATGAGGAGCAGAACACAAAGCCTAAACTACTTTTAGAGGAGAGACGGATACTACATTAACACAGCTTGGGAGATAATACTGAAAAGGGCTGAAATGAAGCTTTCCGTGGGGGCTATAGTGTTAGCCAGGAGTGCCTAGTCACTTAATCCAGGGCTGGTTATGCATCAGTTTAGATGCAAGACATCGCCCCTGACAGAAGGAATGGCCTGCCTAGCAGCGCGTCTCGTAGATGCCACTTCGGCCAATGTAGCGAACCCATTTGATGACGTCGTGGTCGCTGTAGTTCAGCTTGGGTTCGAACACTTTCAGGTAGCGCACCTTGAGCCCAGATGGTGCGAAGGGTACCTGTGGGGAGCAAGGGTAGTCACAGTCAGTCAGTCACAGTCAGTCAGTCACAGTCAATACTAGGGTTGAAAAAGGCTGCAGCTTTGAGTTTTAATGTAATGTTGCAATGAAGTGGAATCTGTTCTTGGTATCGGAAATTTTTTTACGAGTATTAGTATATGAACACAGTATCGGCCAGATACCTGAGGTTGGTATTGGTGTATCCCTAACAAATACTGAGTAGACTGTGTGAGAGCAGGGGTAGGGTCACACTGACCTCAAAGTTCATCGAGATGGGGGGGCGAGCCCACTTCTTCTTGTCATTAGTGGGAAGGAGTTCAATCTCAGCACTGATCTGGGACTCCTTCATCCCAGCCATGCGCTTGATCCTGAGAGCGGTCCAACATTTTTACCTATGCTGCTTTTTATCTGGTAAATTGCATGCTTTGAGTCAGCGTCTCCCCAACCTGGTCCTTAGGGACCTCCTGACAATCCACGTTTTCGGTCCCTGTCTGGACTGTCTGGGGGCCCCCAAGGACTGGGGTGAGAAACGCTACTTTAAGTAATCTAACCCTGATATATAAGTAAAAAAATAAATAAATGTCACTCACTTCCACACGATGGCGTTCTCACTGGCTTTGTACTTGGCTTTGCCCTTCATACAGATCACCTGCACCCCGCTGGTGTTGAGGGGGGTGGGAATGCGCACCTGGGGGGGAAAAGGCACAGATGTACATGTGTGACCAGTTTTCCATTACATAGATATTTTCCATTTTTTGCTCATGTTTAAACTCCTTTCAATTTTTAGCGTAGAATGAATGGCCATGAATTTACACCCCGTTCCAAACACTGGCAGCATTCTTCTGACTGCTGTATAAGAATCAGACCATGGCTCTTGCTCACCTCAATCTTCTGTGCCAGCAAAGAAGGCTTGAAGTTGGACTTGATGACAACCTTCACCTCTAGCTTGGTGCGGCCTACCTCTCTGACCAGAGGAATGACCCGGAAGGGCAGGATGATGTCTTTAGTGGTTCGGTACCTGGAAGATGACCGAGCAATCCAGGCAACACAAGGTTAACACCCAAGAAACCACACCCTGCGTTTACAGTGAGAAGACTAGCCTAATCTAATGACCACATTCTGCTTAGCCAAAACATTGGCAATTGGGTCGAGAGTAGGAAACAACTTCAATGTCAACACCACAGTTACACAATTCAAACAGTCATGGTAGGGTTGGGGGGGGTCACCTCATAAGTTCATATTCCCCGTCGGGGGGGATGAAGCTGATGCTTCTCTCCGAGTCGAACTTGCTGAGCCGCACACATTGGTGGAAGGTGCAGTCGTCGATGGCGATGGACTGCTTCCCACTGCTGGGGGGGGGGCGCAGATACTGAGCTGAGTACGAGCAAAGAAACCCCCCCCTCGACATAGGGGGCTAAATGTGCCACAACACATCCAACAGCATAGTTCACTGCTCTGCTCTATAAAAGCACATGCCAGAGTACTGGGAAGTAACCTGCACACAGACACAGAAAAAGCCTGAAGGGACCAGGTGAGGAAGCCTACCTTCCCCCCAGCTCACTGGAGGTGGAACAGAGAGAGAGAGAACAAGGAAAAATAGGAGCTTAGGAACTAATCCATTTCAAAACACTTCACATTTTCCCACGATCACAAACATAAAATTAGCATTCCAATTTTTTTTTTTTTACGCTAAACGCTTTGACAGATAAACGCAGATCACACTCCTGCTTTAAAATTCCCCACCTCTTGCCCGAGTCGTCCGTCGCGCCGCCCTTGCCCTGCTTGTCGATGACGATCTTGTCGTTCATGCCAAACTTACATTCGGGCATTCCGCTCAGGTAGCTCTTCATCACGACCCGGCCCGACACATGAGCGCTCAGAACCTGGCCTGGGGATGGGTCGGCACAAGCCTAGTCAGTGGCAAAATAAGAGGACCCGGCTGAAATGCCACCTCCTGCCATTAGGGGCAGTCAACGCATACCTTGTGGAGACATGAGCAGGTTGACGCTCTCCAGCACATCAAGGAAGAGCTCGTTTCTCCGGTACTTGATCCCCTCCCGGCGCCAACCGATCTGCCCTGTCACCTGGCTGGTGATCTGAGACTGTTCCTCCTTGGTCTGCGGGGAGGCAAGTTCACTTTTTCTATTCATACATCTTCCAGCAAAATCACATTAACAGAACTCATGCATATATGGACGTGTGACTCACCTGATGCTGGAGGTGAGATGTTCCACAACCAGCAGGTTCCAACAAAGGAGACGGGACAATGTTAGGGAATGCTGTTTACTTCACCACACACACAAACCAGGTCATTAAATGCCCCTGTGAACTCCTAGCTGAGCTTGGATAAAATAAGAAGGCCCCACTGCATCCTAATCTTTAATCCAACATGAGTTAACGGCATAGCGGCAGGTAAGAAATGCGAAGGACACCTGGCTCTTGATGCCCTGCTGGGTAATGAAGGTCTTCAGGGCTCCCGTCTCAGAGTTCTGTGGGTAGCCGAAGTCCAGGATCTCTGCAGGAGACAAACACGCAAATAAAACTCAACATCATCATTGAATTACTGGAATGTTTAATCTAAGAGACTTGGTAAGTTGAGTAGAGTCTTAACGTCAGTCTTAAAGAAAGAGACCGGAAACCCTGATCCAGTGGCAGCCAAAACGCATGCTGGGTTTTGCACCACCTCTCTGGTAGCAATTGGTTTACAGCAGGTGCAGATATAACTTAGATCTAAATTAAGATTCACTCAAAGAGGTTTGCAGAGCTTAGACAGCAATTCTTAGGGATATAGGTAGCATAGTGGTTAAATATATAAACTGGCAACTGCTAGGCTGTCAATTCACACACCAAGAAGCTGTGGTAAAACGTACAGCTGAATAAATGTATGAGATTTTGATTATGCGTTAACGAAGCTATATAACGCGGCAGGGTGAAAATCAGAACACCCCCCAGCACTGAAGGGGGGCGTCAAGGATGAAGCCTACCATCCAGCAGCTCATAGATCAGCACGAAGTTGTTCTTGATGTTCTCCTCGCTGATCTTGCCGAAGTAAGCGGTCATCACGTCGCACATCTTGTAGAGGAACTCGAAGACCATAGCAGCGTTGACGTTCTGCTTGGTGACAGCGGCCAGCCAGATGTTGGAACGCTTGACATGAAAGAAGCTGGTGCGGGCGATGTTGGTGACGGGCGAGCGGACCTGCTGCCGTGCGTGGATCACGTTCACACGGAACGCGTCCACCGCGTTGCGCCTGGGGGAGGAGGCGACAAGGCCGACCTTCACTCAAAATTTCGAGCCAGCACTCAAGCTCATGAACTTCCAAAAAGGACCCAAGACTCACCCTATGTCATCACGGTACACGCGGGAGATCAGCACCTCTCCCTTGTGGTTGTAGATAAACAATCCTCCGATCATTGTGAATCTGAATCCTACGTAGCCATAGTGAAGTCCAACCCTGGGGGGGGGAGGTTTACTTATAAAGCTACCCAACTAACGATTCATTCAAAAAAAGCAGCAAGAGGACAGTGCTCCCAAAGTTACAGACATGTGAAAGACTGGGGCCTCTTAGGTTGACAGGGTTAGTCAAGATGAGGGGGAATAACGTAATGCCTACTAAGTTACAGATATTCAAGGCCGGACGCGGAAATCCAGGGAGCCAGATACCTCAACAGCAGAAACAGCTGGTCCTTGAAGCGGCCATTTAAAAGGCTGGTGACACCAAATCTTATAATATCTGCAGCCAGCATTTTTTCGTCCCGTCGACTCCGCACGGTTTATTACACAACCTTTGCTAAATTATACACTACGGCATGACCACGGTTTTTAAAAAGACTAGCAGGACAAATGTGAAATGTGTGACTATCGGTAATAGTCATCATATGATAGATGGAGCACCTTCATATCGCGCACTCGACACCTTGCTAAAAATAATCATTAAGTACTGACCATATAATAATGGACTAAGTAAAATCAATCTCCAAAAAG